AGAGAGGGAGAGAGTTTACAATGTCTGCTAATATTGGTATACTTTCAAAAAATACACCTCTACTACACCATACCTATGTATTCATTCTTATTTCAGTAGTCCAGGAACTAAGGAAAAAAAAAGCCCAGACCTTATGTCTTTTTAAATATGTTTCTGCATATGTGTATATATAACTTTTATCATCGTGGATTTAAGAAATTAAACAGTGATCGTACATTCAGTTGCATTGCTTATGATATATAAAACCAAACATTACTGTCACCTTTGTACATTTCATATGCAGTATAGAAACATGTTTACTATATTATTTATGTTTGCCAAAGACTGTTGCTTTTCAATGATCAGAATAAATCATTAGCCCCATGACATCCTGAATCTGAAAACACTGTAAATTTACCTTTACTGAGAATGTATTTGTTATGAAATGCTTTCTTGTTCTATAGTCTCTCTCAGTTTTGCTTTCTGAAATATTAAATGAAGATGCCTAGGAACTGTTTCAGTGCTTTAGTAGGCGTGTTCCCTTTGATTTAACTTGCAGTTGTATTACAGACTATTAAAACATGCTGTGACCTTAGATGTGCTGTCATTTTAATAAATTCTTAAATCAAGTTCTTGTGCCATGTTTTCAGGAGATCTCAACCTCAATGATTTGACAAGCTTTAATTAATAAAGTGTCACTGAGTTCACTTTCCAACATCCATGGTTGTGGTTGCTCCTCAGAATTCAATTATTGTTAGGGATCAAGAGCTGGTTTTTGGGTATATCATACATGTTCCTTATATGTAACTTGTAATTTAGAAATTGTATCAATAAATTGTTGAGATCTTACAGGCTGAAAAGTCTAGAAATACAAAATAATGGATTCTTAAATATATTTGCTAAAAAAACGCTCTCAAATTCATGTGATATTGATATAAAATACCTTTCATATGTATAGGGATATATGAATTATCATGTGTTTTTTGAGGCAAAACGTACAACACTTAAAAGTTATTAACTTTTAATTCACAGGGGATTTTAAAAAGTGAAGATTTTAAGAAATATTTCTGTGAACTTCCCAACTTTTATGTTTTTTTCTGTAGATCTTTTTTTCCAAAGGCAGGTTCTTTGAATTCTGGATTAAGCAGTTTTATGTTTTTTTAAAAGCCAAATTTCCTATTTTTTCTGAAAAATTTGTATGGGATAGATTAAT